GAAAGTGTCGTGCCACCAACACCAGCACCTAGTACTCCCATGAAAGACGAGCCGATGCCTTTGGCGGGAGGTGAGGTGGAGATGAAACAAGTCAAGCACCCGAAGCACAAGGAGCCGTCGCACCACAAGGACAAAGATACGGAGCCGCCACCAAGAAGGCCCTTGTCAGCCACCACTCATAAAGAGAAGCTCACTCCTCCGAAGAGACCACTGTCTGCCACTTCGCACAAGGACGGAATGACGCAAGAGGATGCACACGAATGGTTCCTCGAGCATTTCGCCGATTCCCCTGCTCCGAAAAAGAAGAAACCGAACAATTCCTCATCGCTTGAGGATGATCTTACCAAAGAGCTGGAGAGGGAGCTGGCAGACGTTGGCACGCCGGTACCTGATGTGAATGAAGAGGAAGCCGACCAGATGGAAGTTGACGTGGAAGACGAACTGTTGAGTCTGGTGCAGGATGAGCCTGTGAAGGAGAAAGTCGTGCTACCACCTGTTCCACCTGTCAGGAAGGCCAGCATGAAAAAGAAGGCTTCCGAGGAGCGCGACAGGGAGTCGATGCCGCCCCCTGCGACGACGACGGTCAAGACGAAGAAGAAACCCGGTCCTAAGCCAAAGGTCGTGAAGCCTGCGGTCAAACCTACTGCGAAACCTGGCCCGAAAGGGAAAAAGGAGGTGTCGGTGCCTCTGAAGGGCAAAGCGGCGTCAATCTCGGCTTCGAGATCGCGATCGACCAGTGTCAAGCCTGGCGATGCGCAGGAGGAGGGTCAGGATGAGAAGCCTGAGGAGAAGGAGAAGGAGGTGGAGGACGACAAACTCTACTGCGTGTGCAAACGCAAGTACGATGAGGGCCGGTGTATGATTGGCTGCGATAGGTGCGACGACTGGTACCATACTCAATGCGTGAATATGTCGGAACTGGAAGTGGATCTGGTAGACCAGTTCATATGTCCGCCCTGTATTCAGAGTGCGTGATCTTCCGACTTTAAGTTCTTACTTATAACTGATTTGTCATGACTCAGAAAATCCTCAACTGAACCTGAAGACGACGTACAAAACCAGATGTCTCAATGGTCTTGATGATCCCGACCCTTCTTCTACTGAGGCATGTCATCGACCGTCAAAAGGTGCCTTGAGCAAGTATTGCTCGCCCGAGTGCGGCGTCAAGTACATGCGACGAAGGATCGACGCGTATACAGCGAAAGGCGGTAGTCGAGAGGTGCTATGGTCCAAGGTGAAAGACGCAGAGCGACGAGAAGGGGTTGTGGTTCACTGTCAGACTGGTGCCGTGATGAAGAGCAAGACCAAGGCGGAGCGGGAAATCGAACGCTTGGCTGGGCCACTGGAAGCCGTTGGTAGAGCACGAGCAGGTTTGCGACGTGCGATGGAGTGTGTTCTCTGGCGAGAACAGGTGTGGGAGTTGGCGTGTCAACGGGCTGAAGCAGGGGGTGATATCTGTGGATGGGATCAACGGCTCTGCTTCGGCGAGGAAGAGTGGGAGGAGTGGGGCGATGGTGTGGAAGACAGCTATGCTGCTGACGCCGACGATACTGATGCCGAATGGTGGTGTCCCGGTCCCAAGGATTGCGAGCGGCATCATGGTTGGCAGTCCATTCGCCAGGACGACATCAATAACGAGAAGACCAAAGGCGAAGAAGCCATCATGAAACTCACGACCAAAGAGCGAGAAATACGCAAACAGATGGAGGATCTCGTCGGCGCCGAGAGCACAGATATTGACAGAAACGCCAAGCCTGGGCCCCTGAAGAGCAACGGCAAGGTCATCAATGTCAATGGCAACGGGGTCAAGAACGTCAAGGGGAAGGTGAAAGTGAACGGGGATGACAAGAAGACACTGAAGAGGAAGAAACGATAATAGTTTTTCTGCCATGACTTTCCCACCTGTCCGATACTTACCTTGTATTTTTATTACTCTTTTGTAGCCCATCGTCTGCTTTGTTACTTGCATGTATAGTCAACCACGATAGTCAATGTCAATAGTACAATATGAAACACACAACGTAGAGAGGTCATCAGTAATGTAGAGATGACGTCGAGCAGATGATGATAGCGTTGGAAAATTTTAGTATCCATCGCCTTCCCCTCCTTCTTTGCAGAACCCCTTCTCCTCAAACAGAATCTGCGCCTTGTGTTCTTCCCTCCGCTTTTTTGCCTCGATATCGTTCTGATGATACGGTTCCAGCGTTACATAGTCGACTTGCCGAAGGGGGACCTCATCCTCCTTATCCAAGTCCTATAAATCCATTAAGCCATGGTCTGGTCACAGCCACGATACATACAATTTCACCCAGTAGTACAACATTCTCGCCTCGTATGAGGAATAGACCGCGCGGAAACTCTGCGAAAGCGTTCCCATGGTATATTCGTTCAACAGTGTCTTCAAGAACCAAATTTGCTGCGCAGGACACCACGGAGTTGGTAAAAAGGAACAGGCATGCGTAAGAGCAAGGACGTACCAAACTGGTCGTAGGACCTCAAGACGCCTTGCAGTTTACGCCCGTCTCTGAGTATGACGAGCATCTTCCCTACAAGCAACACGGACGCGAGAAATCAGAAAGGAACGTTATTTTTGAACAGTGTAAGCCATGGCGGTGCGCGACGTACTGTCCACGCAGTCCACCAGCGCGCCGGACGTTGTGAAGGGTATGAGCGAGTCCATTGCTTGAGGAGATGGTGATCAAGGAGTGTAGACGAGGCTTTCAATCACTTGAGGATGTATGCTATGTATAGGCAGCAATTTCAGCAGCTTTCCAAGCTGGGATGGCCGAGTCGTTAAGGCGAGTGATTGGAAGAAAGATAGCTTTCGACTCATTTTGGCACGGGGAGATTTCCGTATATGGGTAGGTCCTTGGTTTGGTTCCAAGCCGCCACCTCGCGGCGCGCGCCTCCGCCGCCCCTTGCTCTCTCCCCTCCCTCGCCATGGTTCTCCGCCCAGCAATTGGCAGCCTCTCCCGCGTCGAGGTCTACGCAGCCAGGACAGCAGATCCTGAAACCAACGAGGAAGTGGAAAAGTCTCTCTTTGGCAAGGTCTTTACCAAGCAGTATTCTCCATCAGCAAAGAAGGAACCTGGAAAGAATGTTATAAAGCTCAGGCTCCTGGTAACCAGTACCGTATCACAGAGGAGATCAACCCCCAGTCGGTCATGCCGCCTCTGGGTGAGTTTACTATCCTGCATATATGCGCATATACTCATCTCATATAGCCGGCTTCATCAAGTTCACTCAATATTTGGCATTGTGCACCGAAGGTCGGCTCGGTCCCTTTGCCGTCAAGAGGACCATTCATACCCTCATGGCTTCCCTTTTCGGCATATGGCGGCGAGATGCTCTTCAGGTTGTTCCTCGGGCCACTCGTCAGCAAGTGTACGCCTATATCGGCTCCGAAGAGCTTCAGCGCATTGCTTCTCTCGAGACTAAAGAACGTGAGAAACACTTTCTCAGTGCGCGGGATTTCGATATCATGGCCTCCGGCATCTTTGAAGACGTAGACGGTTTCAGGACAAGTCGCATGATGATTCAGGTCCTTCATGCATTACTCCTGCAGAGCTTGTCTTCCGAGCGCCCCGGCGCAATCGTCGAAAGCTCTAGTCGTCGAGGAACCAACCAGGCCCTGCTCTGGAGAGACTATGAATTTCACATCATACCAAACCCCGACGATCCACACAGCCCACTCGTCATCATCCGCCTCAGAATACATCTACTCAAGGGTTATTGCAAGGATGATGCCAAGCACAAAGACCTCCTCTTGCTGCCCGAGACCGAATCTCGAGTGTTTTGCTCCGTCTCTTCGGCCGTTGCAATGGCCATCGAGGACAGCGTCTTTCCTGACGTCAAGACCGTCGAGGAAATATTTCACCCCAAAATCCCTCCTACCGAACACCACATCCTCATCATGTATCCTGAAGCGGCAGCCAAGCCTGTTCTTCGTTCAGAAATCTTTGACGGCCTCATCTGGATCATTTCTCCTACTCGAGCTTTAACCTACAATGCTCTCGCTAGTCATCTTCGGCGAATCAGCATGAACAAGGGCTTCATACGTAGGTCTTGATTTCTGTATCTATTCTTTCACTCACTCTTTTGTCAGATCATGTCACTTGTTACTGTTGCCGGCGCGGCGCCTCGAATCGCATCTCTCATGAGATGACTGCCCAAGATCGGTCTACCCTCATGGGTCATGTCGAGGGGTCAAAGAAGTTTGATGTTTGTGTCTTATCTATGCCATCGGCTACAACTGACTTGCCCTTAGAGTCATTACAAGACTCGCTTCATAGATGCAGATCTCGGAGCTGTCTTCCAAGGTAGAGACGCAAATGTCCAGTACATGGAAGCCGCAAAGGTACGCTGGCCACGTATACCCTCTCCTCCTGTTCATGTTTGTGCCAGGTTTTGTCCGATATGTCATCTCGCAGAGATGCAAATGCACCCATAAAGCTGACTGCAGAGGGCAAAGCAACACTCTTGGCCGAGCCTGAACTCATTGAGATGGAGACTGAACTCGGTCCTCTGCCTTTTTGCTGCTCGTGATCCTGCTCCAGTTGACGCCATACCTAGGGACCAGTGGGTTACAGCGATGTCTGAAAGGAATAGAAGGACCTACCAGCTTGATGGTGGGTATATGCAGACAACGGTTCATGCACGTGCACGACGCGCTCCTTATTAAAGGATGACCATCGAACCTCAGCACGAGCTTTCAAAATAATGAGGTATCGCTCTGTTTGCAGCGGGCCTGAGTCCGGTCAGACAGCAAAAAGGGCGAGAGAATTCTGATATTACACTACATATTTACAAGCTTATATACTTCGAAAATCATGTGAGTCAGTAAACTAATAATAAGTATTAATACAACATGAATCATAAGATTCAGAATAAGTCAGAAATAATCATGAATTGAACAGGGGGATGAAGGCGAAGGCATGATGAAATAATAGGAATAAACCGAAGGTAACAGTACCATACAACAATAATCTACTTGTATTCAGGTCATGGTGGCCGAGTAGTTAAGGCGAGTGATTTGAACAAAGATAGTATTATCACTTGGTGTTTCACCGCGTAGGTTCAAATCCTGCCCATGACGGATTCTTTTGCAAGGAAGGAAGTGGCTTGTACCCTGTTTTTTTTTTTTTCAGCCCCGAATACGGGCTGAAAGCATGTGACCGTCTTTTGAGAGAGATAGTAATGTCACTTATATTGTTTCACCGCGTAGGTTCAAATCCTGCTCCCAGCGTACCTTTTCATTTTCTCTTCTAGAATCTGTTAGGGCCACGTACTAGGGCTGCGCACGAAACCTCCAGGGGGGGGTTTGATACCATTTTGTACCCACCCTTCCTGGAGGGTTTCTTACCAGTCACAGGATCACTCACGTGATGGACGCGGAGCCGTTTTTCCAAATTCTTCTGTACCACGCCGTGACGCTACGTTGCCCCATTGCCGTACCTCAAATACTCATGAATTCTGTCCCGATAGCCATCAGAATTCTCTGGATACGTCTTCTTACTTCTTTATACACATCTAAGTCTGAGAATCCTTCTCCCCAATCCAACATTAGCTCTAAGGAATTTGCAAGCTCGTTGTCAGGAAGACGCGCCATGCTTTGAGCTGCGACTGCTCTGCAAAGTGAAATCACAAAAAACTTGGTGGTAATATTGTCACATGGTCGGTACGTTACCTCAATGAAATATGCTCCGCTGACCTGTAGTTTCTTACTGGTTTCTTACCGGTAACTTAACGGTCCGAAACCGGGGTGTATCAAAACTGGGGGTTTCGTGCGCAACCCTACCACGCATGAAACATCCCGGGGGTGGGGGCATACCATTTGTACCCACTCTTCTTGAGGGGTCTAGTATTGATATGGTTACTCATGTCATTTGCATTTTCTTTCCAGCATCTTCATCTTCGTCTTATTTTACACGTTTTTCTTGCTCCTGACGTATATATAATTCATTGAAGATTGATGCAGTGCTTTGTTTTGCATTGTAAACAAATCAAAAATTCAATAGGATTCGGTATGTTTGTGATGTTGTTGCTCAATTGACATCACATGACAGGCAAGTTACCTCGATGAAAACCTCTCCAGCAGGGGGAGGTAAGATACCTTGAAAACTGGAAAACTGGATTGATTAGCCATCTCCACTGATAGTACAGCTCAGGTAAATAGAAGTAAACTACTTCTACTGACCCCGATGGCTCATTGTAAGAAGAAGTGACAGTGGTAGCAACATTATCTAGTGCTAGTGCATGAGCCCGAAGTGATAGCGAATATGCACATTCCCTCTGAATCCTTTCAAACTACTGTGATCCTGATCATCACAGACCAGCTGCGCCTCGTTGACATCAGCTGCAGATGATGTCGACCCGGAATAACAAGGGTCAAGAAATATGGCTGTCAAACTGCAATGGCGTTACAGAGTGATAAATGCCAATGGAGGTTGCAAGGATGCATGGAACAAGGGGAAATTAACTGCCGCGGCTCCTTGAATGACCTGTCACCTCACCAACGACTCGCAAGGTAAGACGACTTCCCTGGCCAGGCAAGGGACTCGTGCTATACCAGTAACTAACCGGCAACTTACCGGTCCGAAACCGGGGGTTTCGTGCGCAACCCTAGAATCTGTACTATATAGTACTAGTAACTAACTTCCAAGTACATACATTAGGAGTGAAACCTTCAGGTGAAGAAGTAAACATTTATTACTGTCCTCCAGGAGGGGTGAATTTTCCAGGGTCAGTAACCGTTACCTCGGCGGACACTCGTTCAGAATCTCCAGGACCCCCACTCTCATCAACGAACAGCAGTGCAGAACAATGTTCATCGGGTGTCTGAATGTGCCTTCTTCTTTCTTGGTTGCGTTGTGTTGGTGCGTCTTGTTTCACTTTCATACAATGATAGCATCACTTACAAACCTGCTCTTTCTCAACACTGACCAAGCTTACACTGAAATTATGCACATACTTGAAATTCCAAATAACAATCAGTCTTTCACTGCATCCTATTCCCAGTCTTCTCTCATTGCATTTTTATTTACGAAAATTTGAGCGCTCACTGCTCGGCGAATAGACGACTGTTGCCAATGGTCATATTGCTCAGTTCAGCCCATCCGATCAGCGATCGCACCCATCTGTTCAGAACTGACTCCTAGAGTAGCGCAAGTCTGTTTCGAAGTATCGTTCACCCTAAACGACTTGCTACCCCAATAGAGGTGGGGTCAAGCATCCGACCAAGTACATGCTAGAAGCAACACAACTGCGATAGGATAATTGTCTATTCCGCATCAACGTAAATGTAGACTCAGCTTGCATGGTTTCTCTGGTACCCAAAAGCATTCAGTGTTTTCCAAGTTGCATGGAAAGTATTTTATAGTCGGCATCATCATCTGTGTCCGGCGATATTTCATCCACGACAAAGCTGCAGTTGATGTCAGAGACTGTACGCCGTTAATCAAAAGACATAATGTACCCTAAGGCAAAATAGAACGCAAGTGCAGCATCATTTGCTAAGCATACAAGATTAGTTGGAAATCCTAATGAATAGATTCCCCATACCTTCAAAGACGGTGAGCATGATCTTCTGCATACGCCAACTTCTCCCGATAGAACCCAAGAAATCCATTAATTTACGTCCAAGCCCACTGCGCCGAGATGCGTTTGATACCTGGAGTTCATAACTAAAAGGAACTTTGTGAACAAATTGTCTGAATGATGAAGTCTGAAAGCCGACCAGTAAAGCATGTCCGAGCTATGTTCATGTTCGAACCTGAAGATAGTGTAACCTGATAATGCGTGTGTGTCCGGCCTCCAAGCTACGACAAACCGTGACAGAGGATCAAACATTTCTTTTCGCTTGTCGGCAGGATCCCAACCAAAAGAAGATTGCGCATACCTAACGTCGTCTTCAGCGGAACATTCGGCGATATACGTGACTGTAACGCACAAGTCGCGCATGTTGGTTTCCAACATCGCAAATATATCCTCACGGAGCTGCTTGGATAGTTCACTGGAGGTCAGTACTCTATAGCTATGTCGAAAATGCATTTATGTTGCGCGAATGGACACGATCGCATACTAGGACATACGTGGGATCGGATATGCTGAGAGCCTTCGACAACTCTGCCGCTGACGCCTTGATAAGATGTTCAGGAAAGCTAACGTTGAGGAAATAATCCCTTACCTTGTTGGCGTCACGAACACGCTTCGAACCGTCGGCCAACATACCGTCCGCACGTTGCAATGGACGGGAGACAAAGGAAGCTTTACGGCATCTTCCGTCTCGACGTCGACAGTGACCAGTATGACGTAATGTGCTTATTTTCTCTTTCAACTGTCTGGGTAGAAATTTGTTGAACGTCGACTTGCTTTTATCGTTCCCTCGTTTAAATATTCACCACTCTCGAAGATGAAATTGGACGCTACCGACCTCCGGTATGTGACACCGGAGGAATTCAGGGTTTTGACAGCAGTATGTACCCTGTGCTATGCATTTCACGCCATTCAAATCAGTTGTCAGGTTGAGATGGGTTCGAAAAACCATGAAGTGGTCCCTACGAATCTGATTGCTCAGATATCCGGTCTGAGGGGTGGTGGTGTCAATAAGCTCATCGGTTCCCTTGCAAAACGCAATCTAGTCTCAAAGGTTCAAAATTCAAAATGTAATTCTACTTCCATGATCCATCTTATTGAATGACAATATCTTGCAAATAGACGACGGATATAGGTTGACGTATGGTGGTTACGATTACCTTGCTATGCGCGCGATGTCGAAGAGAGACTCCATGCACTCTGTTGGAAATCAGATTGGTGTCGGGAAGGAATCTGGTGAGCCTAACCAAGATGTTTCGCCAGACTGTTCCTCAGTTGTCTGCATAGATATCTACATAGTCGCGGATTCAGAAGGCAAGGAAATGGTACTGAAGTTACATCGGTGAGATTCCTCTGTGGCGTGCCTCAACTTGCCTCATGGTAGCTGGACAGGCTTGGTCGAATATCATTTCGCGCAATAAAGGACAAGCGGGATTATCTCGGAAAGAGGAAATCAGCGTCGTGGATGTACATGTCTCGCTTAGCTGCTCAGAAAGAATGGGCTTTCATGCAGGTAAGTATTCATCGTAAAACGTCTCCTGTAATGAATACTGTTTTAGGTCCTTCACGAACACGATTTCCCTGTTCCAAGACCTATCGATCAAGCACGACACTGTATTCTGATGGAATTCATTGATGCATATCCCTTGTGAGGCTTCTCAAAAAACGCCTGTCGTGTTCTTATCCATCTGTTTCTAAAGGCGACAAATATCGGAGGTTGAATCTCCAGGAAAGCTTTATTCAACGTTGATGGATATCATTGTGCGATTTGCTCGCGCCGGATTAATTCATGGAGACTTTAATGAGTTCAACATTCTGATACGGCGAGACACTGGGGAGCCTGTCGTTATCGATTTCCCTCAGATGGTCAGCACATCACATGTGAATGCAGAATGGTTGCTGTCTATTCCTTTCGTTATCGAGTTCTCGCTAATTTCATCTCCCAGGTATTTTAATCGCGACGTTGAATGCATCCGTACGTTCTTCAGGCGGCGTTTTCGATATGAGAGCTCTTTATATCCCCGGTTTAAAACGATAGCAACGGAGGATTCCTCCGAATCAACTTTCAGGCTGGATGTCGTTGTCGCAGCTAGTGGGTTCGGCAACAAAGACATGAAGATTTTGGAAGAGGTTTGTACGATTTTTTGCATGTAGAGAGTGCTATGCTGATTGTTCATCAGTACATGGCGGCTGTCAATGAAGAAGCGCATGATGATGAGGAGGAGGAGGAGGAAGATGAAGATGAGGAAGAGGAAGAGGAGGAGGAAGAGGAAGGCGATAATGAAGGTGAAAAAGAGGACGGAGAGGAGAAGACACGGCACGGAGGAGATGAAGGACGAGACCAGAAAGACGAACTTGAAGCTAAGGAAGATGAGACAAGAACAAGTCTGAAAAACATGCCGACAGATGTTGACGAACGTCAGGATCGCGATGTCGCAATGGGCGATGAACCTTATCAAGCAAAATCACGAGGACGGACAGAGGACTATCCATCAGACGTCT